GAAGTACTTAAACTAGGACAGGAGATGCTGTATTTGTGTGTGATCAGCACAGTAACAGCACTCTAATCATTTTGGCTGATTTTTATCATCAAGCAAAGTGGTGGATTCTGCAAATTACAAAACAGACATTTAATTTTGACCATTCCAGTGCAACCATTCAAGAATTTAACCTGAAAACTTCCAGACGGACACTTAATATACAGGTAAAACATAGATGTACAAGTGAAATACTATGAGATACTGGCACAAGAAAGGAGTAATTTGATTTTTCAGTTTTTCTTGTTTGTCTACCACAGATAAGAAATACTTTTATGCTTGTTGAAAAGACAACCTAGCATTGGACGAAGGATTTTGTATTTCTTTTGCAGTGGCAAATTAAAATTGCTCAGAAATGAAAAGAGACCAGGATAAAGGTGGCAGCAACTGCCCCTGCTATTAAGAAATCTCAGACATGCTGTACATTGATATACAATTCTCTTCCTTCACTCTTATCTATATGTACAGCAAAATCTAAACATTTATTTAGTGAATATAGAAGGTAAATACGTTCAAACCAAGCCACTGCAAAAGAATGTTGTCGGGTGTTTACTAATCATGTTTATGATGTGAAGATAGAATTTAGCAGTAAACAGAAGTGAGTTATGAAAGGAATTCTGCATACTATTTGCTCAAATGTTCTTTTGGGCTCAACAGTTTCTGTTTCAACTGCTTTAATTTTCTGGATGAGCTACCAGAAAAATACCCAGTCTATGTCACAGGTTAATGGGATGATTCTCACATATCTTTTAGGACATTTTATGACATATTATTCAGTATCCTGCATGGTTGCAGAAATATGGATTACACTATATGAAATAATGTTACATGATATGTGGGCTGTCCGTTAATTAAGCTAGTGAAATATGTAGCACATCATCAGCTTCTGGTGTGCCAGTTTAAAGAATATGCTTATATATTAGAAGTACTTAAATTGTTGACAACTTTAAAATAGCACCCACCTGGGCTCTCAAACCACTAGAAAAATACACTGTCACAAGCAAAAGACTTAAAACAACTGCTCTCTGCTGCTGAACAGAGCTACTAATAAGGGTCATCCACATGCTTTCCCACAGCCACTTGAGCCTTTGCAAACATCTGGACTCTGAAGAACATCTGCACAAATAGATTCCTATATGGCCTTCCAAACACTTGTCATCCACTCAGAAGTTTCATTGAAGGGAAGAAAAAAACCCAAAGAAGCAATTTCGATGATCCAGTTGATCACCATCTCTCACAACAAACACAAAGATGAGCTCTCAGATTAACTGAGATCCAGAAGCTCATTGATACTGTAGCTCCTTCATCAAACCCTGGAATCACACCCAGAAATAAATGACACCAGAACACAGCATACAACATCACTGCTACATGCATAGCGGAATTAGCTGTAACACGTAAGCCACTATTTTTCCACAATTCTGAATCACCAGATGATACTGAGGATCTTATAGCTGTATCTTGGAGCATGTAGATGGCATAGATTGTGGTGGCAGGGCCCAAAAACTAGGGGAGGATACTTATAGGTATCCTCTTATCAGGGAATGACAGATAAAACATGAACCACCTTTAGCAGTTTGGGTATGAACATGGAATCCATGATCCTAAACATTTACATAACCATACACACACACACACACACAAACACACACACACAAACACACACACACACACACACACTTTATATCAAGCCCAGTACATTCCTCTGGTAAAATAAATTCTCCTTGCTAGCTATGTCTTAGTGCACCTCCCTGTGCTTATCAACATCAGGTACACAAATCATTTTATGCCGTGGCTGAATTATTAAACTGTAACTGATTGCCAGAGAAATACCTCTTTGTCCTGCTATTCGATCCCCATAAGACCATTGAGCTGAAGTTTGCAGAGCTGATGATCTTTGTGTTCAGCAGCAGTGATGTGAAGTACTGGTCTCCTTCCTTCCTGGCCTTTACCAAGCTGGTCCTTTTCATCTTCTGCAAACATTCCTCCCTCTTCTCCTGTAGGACGTTTATCAGAATTTTCACATTTTAGACAAATTGTTTTGAACCGTTGCAAACAAGCCCAGAAATATTATCACTGGAGGTACTGGGGTGGAGTTGGAAGTTTGTCTCATTCAGGTTTTGTTAATTTCCATTGATATGAACTTTTTCACTAATTGCATTTTTTGATCTGCAAATTTACTCCAACCCAAGTAAGCAAAAATAAGTACGTCCATCTTCCACATTTCTTTATTAAGAAAGCCTTGATTATGCCAATGAAAACAAATAGTGTGGGAAAGTTTTAGTGTGTGTGTTTTCTTAAGTACATTAAAAGCACAAACAGTAATTATAGCCAGACAACCAATTAATTGGTTGAAACCTAAAAAAAGAAAAAAATAAAACAAGCTATCACCCATTTTTATTAACGTTGGTTGGCCAGACAAGCTGATAACTAGCTCTGAAATCCATAAATGATAGCTTTTAGGGGACAAACTGCACTGAAGACATTTACTTCATTTTTACAAATTGTTTTTTGTTTGATGTTTTCATCTGTCAGCTGTGCTTATAATGATGGAGGAGGAAATCCAACCTACACGAGCATATAACTCCATCATTTGTGATACTGCACAAAGTGGTGGCGTTTCTCTAATATCTTAAGAATTAAAAAGTCTCTCTTGGCTCAGACAATTAGTGGCCTATGTGCTTCTGGGGAAATTCCCGCCTTTTATCTCAGTTGTATCCTAGGTGACCATAAACCTATTACATTTTATACACATTCATAACACATCTCTTCTGTTTATGCCTGCATGGAATAGTTTAGGCACAGAACTTGTGTTGTTTTAAACAAAGCAATTCCTTTATTTACAAGAACAAGGTGAATTTGGTATCACCCCACCAAAAGCTGTAGAAGTCAAACAATAATTCATTTGTCCTTTCCCAGATCAGAATAAGACAGATGTTCTTGCTCCTCTAAAACACCTGGATTCTTCAGTATCGGTGACAAAGAAAGCACAAGGCCATTCAAGAGATGCCCTAATTCAGACACTCTCCCTTTCAGTGCTATTTTTAGGGAAGTTTTGTACCATATTCATAGCTGGTTTCTAAATCTAGGTCACATTTTAAATCAATCCTTAGCTTGTAAGGGTAAAACTGTTGTACTATATCTCAATTTATACTAAAGACATGAGATTATATTAACAGTTTTTCCATGGGGGTCCTAAAGAAAACTTAAGCAGAAGAAACCCTGACTTGTGTCCTCCAGGACGGGGAAGCACACCCGATTTTTGTAAGACTAGTGTTGAATAGAAATACAACTAAAATACACTGGAATGGATTTTTTGTTGTTAAACCCAGTCTATCACAATACATAGGTTGATATATTTAATTCTGTGCGTACAGGTGAAAAACCTGAAGTTTAACAATAGCACTTGCTTCTTTGATTTAAAAAGAAAAATTTAATCCAGCCTTAGTGCAAGAAAAGGAAATACATCTACTACTACTTTCTGTCAGGTATAACCCTGTCAAATTCAATGGGAATCTTGCCAGAGTAACAGTTGCAAACTGAGTTTCCTCAGTCTTACATTTGTCCCAGATGACCTCTTAAATCCCACCTCAGATGCTCAGAAGCAAAGTGAAACAAATTTCAAGGCTTAGCATGAAATGCCAGCTGCTGGGTGAATTTTCAGGCTAAGATACTAAGCAAAAGAGATACAGCTTTTTATTGAATTAATACATTCCAAGTGGGTGGAAAACAGTAACTAGGAGCCTCTTCTTGTAGCTCTCATTTATGCAGAACTCCCTACTGACTGTAACAAAGAGAGCTGAATCAGGCCCTACATTCCTTCAAACACTGTGTCAGCAAGGGATTGGGTGTCTCTGCCTCTGTTTTCCATCCCAGTGTTCCTCTGGCTATGAGATGTCTCAGTTGATCGGGAGTTGCCCCATGATGCAGTTGAAATAATAAAAAAGATAATAAGAGACCAGGGATTAGACTCTGAACCCACCACATTCCATTTGCAAGGCCTTTCCTTTGAGGAATAACACTATGAGAGCATTGCATACGGCTGTCATAGAATCAGTGATGAATTTAGGTCAGAAGGGACTTGTAGAGATCATTTGGTCCAGTCCCCTGCTCAGAGCAGGACCAACTTAAGAGTAAGCTGTTCAGGTCCTATCCAGCTGAGTTCTGAATATCTCCAAGAATGAACATTCCACTTTTCTGGACTAACCTATTCCACTGTTTTACAACTCTCATTGTGATTATTTTTGCTTAATATTTAGTAGGGATTTTCCTTCTTAGAATTTGTGCCAGTGCCTCTCACTCTACCACTGCTCACTATCCAGAAGAGGCAGTCTCTGTCTCTTCTATACCCTGAAGGCAGCAGTAAGATCCTCCTTAGCCTTTGCTTCTTAAGTTTGAATGAACCCTCATCATTCACAGAATCATAGAATAGTTAGGGTTGGAAAGGACCTCAAGATCATCAAGCTCCAACCCCCCTGCCATGGGCAGGGCCACCTCGCTCTAAACCATATCACCCAAGGCCTCATCCAACCTGGCCTTGAACACTGCCAGGGATGAAGCATTCAACAACCTCCCTGGACAACCTATTCCAGTGCCTCACCACCCTAACAGGAAAGAATTTCCTCCTTATATCCAAACTTCCCCTGTTTAAGTTTTAACCCATTGCCCCTTGTCCTATTCAAGCATTGCTGTAGCCTCTAACCGTCCCAGGGGCTCTCTGCCAGTATTGCTGTAGGTGTCAATGCTTTTGGGGTTTAGGAGGAGTGGGATCTTTGTTTTGGTTTGGTTTAATTTTGTTCTTGTACGCTGGTGCCCAGAGCTGCATACAGTACTGCAGATAGTTTCTCAAGTACCAGAGGGGAAGAACAGCTTCTCTCCACTGCCTGGTTACACTGCCACTAATACAGCCCCATATGCAGTTGGCCGCCCTCACTGCAAGAGTGCACAGCTGACTCAGAAATGGTAGTAGTGAGTCTCCAGCCAGTGAACAGTTCAGTATGGCTCTGTTCTGCACTTTCCTTTATTAGTAACTTTCCAAAGGCTGACTTCATTTCCTCAGGTTTTCTAGATACCAGTAAATTGAGACAACCTCATCTAGAGTCTGCGATTTCTTACCGGGTATAAAATCATTTGGGATTCCCCCACTCCATCTGTTGAAAGCATTAGAATTTACTTACAAGAATCACTGGGGCGTTGCTTTATCAGGTTCATAAGTTTCAGCAGCCAGTCATCTTGCCTCTAAATGGCCATCAGATGCAAGGTCTTTTATATACCATGCTGGATAGAACATGATCTATTTAATAATGAATTTATCTTTTTATATTACATCTTGCACTTCCACTATTGTTATTTGGGTATATTCAGCCCACAAAAAGTCAGTAGGAAACTTCCCATTAACTTTAATTTTGTTTCATAATTAGCCCTTTCTCATTTCTGTATTGGCTCAGCCCACAGCAAGCTGATAGTGTCCTAAAACAGATAGCTATAAAGCATATGTATAATGCAAATGATCACATTGCCTTTCTTTATAAGAAAACAGGAAATAACAATTATAGTTAATTCAAATGTATATTCATTTTACAAGTAACCAAATGAAGTTAAGGAAGCTATTTGAGTAGGAAGTAGCAATAGATTCCAAATACTGTGGCTCAAAGTGGGAATGAGAAGGGTCAGGAAGAAAGCTCTGTATATTTTGGTGGTTTGGGGTTTTTGGAAATCCTTTTTTCTTCCCTACAAAGAGAATTAAGATATAAGGGTAATTTATTATGTAGAACACTTGAAATGTGAGAAATATAACTTTTACCAGTGTTTCCAGTACGAATTAATCAGATTAAGATTAAATGGGGGAAGCAATTTTAGCACTGAAAAAAATAATAACCTTTAAAGCTTTTTTTCCTTCTTTTAATACTGCCTCTAAAACATCCCTAATGGCTTGCAAATTATCAACACCGGATCCACCCAAAATTGCTATTACTGTGATGAACGGGGTGGAGTTCAGAAGAGATTGGCTTGCTGCATTTCTTTTTTAAAGGGGCAGGTTTTGACACTTTACAAAGCTTAAATGAAAATGTTGAGCACTGGTTTTAGCTTTGTGAATTCCCTTCAAGACCAAAAATAATACCACATAACTTGAGACGAATAAGAGCAGAGGTCGAACAGGCACACAGTCAGCAGAGGAAATGTCATCTGACACCCGCAAGGGAGAGCCAAGGAAAAATACTCATGGGCAGGAGATGCTTGGGAAAAAGGACATCTATATCTATCTGTCTAGAAATTTGGATATATAGCAAGGCTGACTTTTCCCACTCCTGTTCGTCAGTAAAAGGAAGGAAGTCTAATTTCATGGATGAAACAGCGGGCGATGTAAATAAGATTCATGCTGCCTTTTCAAGATAAGGAAGTCTTCCAGAGGACGTCTGGACACATTTTATGATAAACTATTGGGAAAACAGAGCTTCCCTGCACTGTAGTGATCTGGAGAAACTTCCTTTAGCATTACAAGCCTAGTCCAAAGACTTGAGATAATTTTTTTCCCTTCCACTTATTTCAGTGGACTTGAGAGCATGCCCTGACTTCACTGTGGTGAACACTGTTCCATCAGTTAAGCTAAGCTAGAGTAGTGAAGTTTCTGAAAATAGAATATTACTTTAACTCTAATGCATTATGGAGAACCAGAAACAATTCCTTCCACACAATTGGCAAACACGTCTTTCCTCCTTTTCAAAATATGTGGTCCTCTCCATTCTCTGGTCCATACACAAGGCTATTTACCTGCCTGAGTTTTTGTCACAAACAGCAGAACAGCAACAAGTCTGTGCAGTGTTGCTGACTAAATATTCAGTCCTGCACAATGAAAATACAAAGAGAATTCTTGGCAGTGTTGTCTAAAACAATGAATTATTGCTTTTTGAATTTACTCCAACTTGTAAAAAAGTTTTTAGAGTTCGCATATGTATCATGCTCTAATACACATGCTCAACACTGACAAATTCAGAGCTAAATGTGTTATAAGAACAACTGCACTATTGTATCAGTTCAGCGTGTCACTGATATGCATGTGCTGACAATGGTCATTCCCCATGGAATCCTAGAAAATGTTGCTTTTTTGAGGGCATCTCAGTATTTGAAATCTTATTAGCCTTTTCCATTTCACCCCCTCCCCTCCAGTGCTATAATAAACTGCATTTTAAAGGTAAGCTGACTGAATGAACCCTGGTAGCTCCTTACCTCGCTTTGACAGGTTTGTTCCACAAGCTGTCCTTCCTCTTCCTGCAGTCAAAACCTGTATAATAGCATCTGCAAGAAAAAAAAGGAAAAGGGGAGAGGGGGATTAAACATACAAAAAACCCAAATATTATCATTTATGCCACTGGCTAAATCCATAATATGGGAAAGGTTAGCCCTGTGCTTAATCAAATCTCTGGAGAAGAGAGCTTTTCTAACACACATGGAACTAAATTCTGTATTCGGTTAACTGTGATTGTAAGGACTAGAGTAGAAAGGAAGTCTGAGGAACTTGTTCCACTTATGCAGAATGAAAGCGGGATGTAGCCAGGGAAGATGCTGGGAAGTACAAAAGTGTGTTAATCTGCAAATCCCAGCGATAAACCTATCCAAGCCTGCACTTCTCAGCCCTACTCCTGAGCTATCAGCAGACAGCCCTGCTTCAAGAAAATGCTGTCTGACAGCTGCCAGGTGTAGAAGTTGCTGTTCCTCAGATGATCAGCAAAATATGTTCCACAGTTGCCAGCACTTCTGCAAGAAAGCATTCAGCAGACAGTGTGGTGATTTAATTTATGAGGTTGCTCATACTCCAGAAGCTCTCAGAAACCCCAAGTGAGGCTGTGGCCCTAATGCACTATACTAAAAGCACAGAAAGAAAGCTCCAGACAATTAGCCATTGCCATTCTACACCAGGTCTAGGCAAACGGTAGCAGTGGTGGACACTGACAGCAAGGCAGAAACATTTGCATTAAGTTGTCCATCTCTAGGATGACTCCAGGACTTCAATCATCATAACCAGATCTTACAGCTTTTTTATATGATCACTTGCATTTTTTAAGATCTGATTTCCTTGTCAATAGTTTCAGTCTTCTGGAACCACAAAACGGGATGAGAATAATTATAAGGGGCAAGGTGGGGGAGGCAGTGTCCTCATTGCAGTGCTGGAGCAGCAGAGCTCAGACAGGTCTACCTGCAGAATTGCCCAATGTCAGGTAGGATGCCCCAAGCAGCAGTGGATCCTTCCCTACCCAGGCCCATGCACTCCCAAAGGCAGGCCCTGCCAGCTTGTTTGAGTAAAGAAACTTCTGCATCAGCTGCCTGCTTGTGTGCTTTTTACAGCTGCACACAATTTTATTTCAACATTATGTATCTTACATGCTTCCTATATATGTACACATGAATGATTTTGATTTAGTTGGACTGTTGACACTGCTGCTCAAGAGAAGAGTTAAGAACAAGTTAAACTCCCTGGCTGATGAATTGGTCACAACTTCCCACAGGGACTGCTCAGACATCCGCAGTGATAAATAAAGTCAAAGCCTCTACTGGCTCAGCTCATGTTTATTAGAACAATCTGCTAATGACCTAAAGGGAACAATCTTGAGAAGCATAGCAAATAGTTTCCCCAGCTATTGGTTATTATAACATGCATCACTGACACCGGCAAATAGTCTCTCATAAGAGTACAGCAGGAAGACAGGAGTTACGTTTTATGAAGGATTTTACTTTTCACATTTGGTTTCCTTCCAGCTTGGAAACTGAGATACTTAAGTTTTCCACAAAAGAAAAATCATGCGGAAAAAAGGCCAGGTTTGGATCTCCTAAACTGTTTCATTTCAATTTTGACTTTTTTAGAGTTGCAAAAGTTTACAAATGAAGACTCATTTTAAAACAAAAGGTTTCACTCAAATAGTGTTAAAATGTTTTGATTCTTGGAACGCTTTCATTTTTCTTCCATAACTGAATATGAAGACAAACACAATTTTGTGAACTATTTTAAGAGAACTGTATTTTCAGATGGAAAATTGTCAACATTTTCTTTATTGATCCCTTTTACTCCCCTTTCTTTTCTTCCAAACATTAGTCCAAGATATTCTAGAAGAAAATGGAACAGTTACAAGGGGATAGTTTGAAAAGTGCAGCTAGCTACTGAAAAGTGAATCCTCTAACTACATTTTCCTTAATATACTCTCTCTGAGCAGAAAAAGAGACAAGCGTCTTATGAGATACCCCATCTTCTCCAAGGACACTGTATTAGCAAGTCATTTCCATACCTTTAAAATACAGAAGCAAAGAAAAATTTAGATGAGCACTTATCCATTAACTATTGCTAAATTAAGCCTGTGCTGCACACCTGTATAGCACTGATTACAACATCAGCAACTTCAGCAAAGAACCAGGGGATTACTGGAAAAGTAGAAGTTTCCATTCTGATCCTGTAGGTTCTCATGTATTTTCCAGCTAGTGGAAGCCACATCCTACACAAAATGGCCAACTGGCAAGCTTAAAGGAGGAACCCAGTCATTCAACAGTCTCCATATGTCCCACAACTTGCACAGGCCCAGGCAGCGCTAGACACGCACCAAAACTGGCATGTCCCACAGCACAAACATAGAGCAGCACTACAGACGGGACTGAGTTCTGCTGATGTTTCTGCAGCCTTGGTTGCAGTTTGAGTCACCATGACATTGACACTAACACCCCTCATGAACAGATTTGAGGGTGCAGGAAACAGAAGCTTACTACACAGCTTGAAGATTTTCCTGTACGTACTGACTTTAAAGCTGTGGGTACTGTGGCCTTCAGTTAAAGCCAATACATAAAAACCAGCATTGTTTAGAGAGTTAGATTGGCAAGAATCCCAGTCACTGAACAGGTTTCTCTCTACAAAGAAAGGAAGAAGGAAGGAGAGGTAGACTTGGATTTTTTTTACAGAATATTAACTATTTATAAATTTTAATTTATAAATATTAATCCATTGTGATGAAGTGTTATATAAAAGTACATATGGCATAAGACCACTAGAGGGGAGTAAAGTAACTTAAAAGTGAATGTTTCTTCTACTTGGTTTTGCTATACAAATTACATTTGCACATGTTAATTAACAGCTATAGTAAAACCAGAGTATTAAAGAATTGCATTTGCTTAACATTCTAAGCAAAGTTGATTAGATAATTACAGTATTTCTGTACCATTGTCCCCTCTCACTAGGCTGCAGGCTGACAGGGAACATTCATCATCTGGATGAAGCCAGAACACCAGGGGTGGCATTCAGCCAGAACATTTGGCAATAGACATGAATTTCTTTACTTGTATTGAGATTTATAAAGAAACAACACTACATGATGGAAACAGACTCATTTTATCAAGTGTGAAAAACGCACCAGGCTTAAAAGCTTGCTTGGTAGGTAAGTAGGAAGGAGAATACAAACCCTGGTTCTCACATAGATCACTGCCCAGGTTTACACAACAGTGAAATATTTACCCAAGCAACAAGAACAGAGAGAAAAGCATGATTAATTTGGAAGTGTGAATTACTCTGCATCAGAATGCTGGGTGAAATCTCGCTACAGCTGCAAGTAATGTGCTCCTGTATCACTGCCAGGTTACCATCGTCGCCATTGTAACCCATCTAACACTGTGGGAGACAAGACTGTGCAGTGAATCTGCACAAAAGAGCAAACATTTAAAATAAATTTCAATAGGAAATCTTAGCAACTCCCACAGAACAAAGGGAAACATGAGAACACAGTTCCAACAGCAGAAGAATGGCTTTGACAGTAAATTTTAAGGACAAATGACTGAAATATATATGTGCCACTGTGTATCTTAATACTTCTGGGAAGCATACCCAGCTTGAGATTTTATGGGAAAAGGGACACTATACGGTAGTAAGTAGCTCTCCAAACTTCACTGGACAGTACCAACTACAAAGTAAAATAAGAGGTAAGGGGATAATAACATATGACATTCCAAAGGTGTTAAGGAAAGTCTGGTAAGCAAGCTAGAGCTCTCCTTAGCTGCATCTCCACAGGTTATGCTTACGGAAGCTGGCTTTAATCACATCAGTCTTGAAAGGCTTTTACAAAGGTGTTTTGCAAAGACTGTAGTAGTTGTGCAGAAGAATGGACAACCAGTTGAACCAGTCTGGAAATGATCAAGCATAGTAGGACCATTAGTGCTGGATCTAATTTTTTTCCATTTATCATTTGCTGTCCTTTGGACTAGTTCCACATTTGCACGCCACAAAAGACCTATGCATCTTAAAAGCTGATGCATGGAAAAAAGAATGAAAGCAATGGTGTTACCTAAGCAAAAGAAAACTGAAGAACAGTAATTTTTAAGCATGACATAAATCCCTATTTTGTGTCCTTGGTACACTGGAGAAGCAGTAATGAGCTTAAGTTGCAGCAGAAGAGTTCAGGTAAGACACAAAGGGAATGGGGAGGCAGCCTTCCATCAGTAAGGATAATACTGCAATGGATTTGGTGGCAGTTGTAGAGTCTCTGTTTATTAGACCTTTCAGAACACATTGGACAAACATTTGCTAGGACTAACATCAGCACAGGTGATTCTGCCGTGCAGGAGGAAAACAGACTGCGTGACTTTCTTAGAAAGGTACAGGTGGAAAAGACCTGTAAAGACCTATGATGATATGTAAATTCTGATTCATTAATATCATATAACATGATGAACCAGATGACACAAGAAAAAATGGCATCTCACGCTGACGAGATACAGACAGATGAACCAATTTCCTACCAGCAAAGGCTGAAGAGGATGGGGAGATCCAAACCTACCTCTTAAATCAACAGTAAGCTCAAAGTACTAGAAAAACCTGGGTTTAATTCTCCATTCAGGCTTCCTAACTGTGTGAACAAGCCAACTAACCCCCTATGGCCTCAGTTCCTACTCACGTAACTGTTCATGTGCACAGCAAGTTGCTGTGATACGAGACAAGGTTTCAGATGTGCATATGTTTACCAGAAATAAAGAATGTGGGAAGTCAGTTTATGTAAGACCTATTCTTAATTTTCTTCATTAACAGATAAAGGTGCTGCTCTTTCCAGCTGAAAGATGCCACCGAAGAGAGAAGCTAAAACATTAGCATCTGTTAACCAACAGTTAACATATTCATTGCTCAAGACATGCATGACTTAAATCATGTGCATTCCTGTTCTGTACATCACATATATAGTTAATTGTACATAACATGTTTATAAAAGATGTTCTTAAAATCACTATTTAAACATAGCATTAAAAAGTAAATCAAAAGTTCTATCGTATTTTAGTACAAAGTAGTGACACATTTTCAGAGGCTGTTCTAAGCAGGAATGTACAGATAGATAAATCAGCTGAAGCAAATAAAGATACATCAAAGAAAGAATACTGCTGCATTCTGTTACTTTGAGGATGGACCTGGGGTGTGGTTAAATAATGTTTAAGCTAATCTGCAACATCACTAGAATGAAATTAGATCTGGCTCCTACAGCATAAATGCAGTATTGAACCAGGGAATTACCTGAATCAAAAAGACATGAGAGCAGGTAATGAATTCTTGACTAAAACAGGTAAGTTCTTTCAGCAGTATAACCTAGTGGGTGAAAAACCACGGCAAACTTACTGCAAGAGACTCATCTAGTGGCTCTGTTACAATATTGGCTCAACTATACAAGTCCAACTACATATATTGCAACACTACATCCCCCTTTCCGACTGGTGTCAGCTGTCCAATTTCAGGAGTTGCCACCCCTTATGCTAGCCTGTTATTGCTTCATTTTTTCCTGCTGACGTTGGAAAGAGGGCTGAGGAATGCTTTTGAGTAATTTTAATTCTTGGGCTAAATATCTTAATGTTCCTCAGACTTTACTCACCAGGGAATAATTGCTGCTGTTTGGGTATGGATCTTTCCTCCAGGCTTCTGAAGTAGATTCTCATTAAGGAAAACTTGGCAGGTCTGGAGCATTCTGGAGTTGTCAGTGCAACAAGACACATAATAAACGTTAGGTGAGCAAGGATTTAACTGCATCTCTACCTACATCCACCTTCTCACATGCACTGCAGTTTTAGTCACTGAAGTTCCCTGGTATGGTGATGCAGTAAGATACAACTGAAATAGCAACCAAATCTAGTTGGGCATCTAAATGTTTATATTTAAATACTCTCCCTTTTAGTAGCTGGGATTGGAAAGATTTCCCCCTTCGTCCCTCTTTTGCCACACGTGCATAACATCTTCCTGCTCCGTAAGAGGAGGAACCCTCACAAGAGAACCTTTGCTCATGTCAGGTTATGGAGCTGCTGAAGAAAACTCCCTGGTTTCCTCACTGGAGCCGGGATCTGCTGCACCCCTCGGCTTTCTTCAGAGCAGTCAGTAATGAGGAAGATCCCTTCTCATCACTGTGGAACCCCAGCTTCTAAATGAAATACATAAAAATCATCAGCTGTTCAAAGCTTTAGCAGGACTAGAGTTATTAAAGTACTTCATATGCACTAAAACCACTGAGCTTCCAAATACAGAAAATTTTCTTAAAGCTAGAGAACTGACAGTCGGTTCTGCACACAAACAACATTGAACAAGGTGACAGAAATCACATAAAGTGTTCTGCACAATGGCATGGAGTGTGGCTTTCTGGGGAGCAACTACAGAGCAGCTCTTGACCACACCACAGATGAAGGATTACTTGGAAAAGTAGGTTTGGTCCACACTGAGAAGCTGGATGTTTAGTTTTACAGATGCAAGATTTCTTCATCTGGGGAAGGTTTCTGGACTTGCCCAAGGAGTGAATTAATGTGGTGTATTGGTTTAAACACTTGTACAAGTACCTCTCACACAGGAATAAATGTGCTGCTTTTTTACCTTGTGCAATTTGGGGGAAAATGCTTAAGCTAACCCAAAAAAGCCACTCATCATTGAAAAAATATCTCCACGTGGGGCTTAGAGAACAACTAGTAAAAACTTTCCTCTGCAGACAAGGCCACAGCTATTTCCTCAGCTAAGAGCTCAGAATTTGGCCCTTGAACTTAACCACTGCCCATGTTTGTTTAGGCACAAGCAGTCTCTCATGGTTTGGTTTGCTCCCACTGATGATGACAAACCCCACCTTCACTAAAGAGGAAATGGGGTTGGATTTATGGGCAACTTTAAAGGCCACCAAGAAATTCAGAAGTCTCTCATTAGCTTGCCCACGAGTCTCAAGTCACAAACCAGTCCTGCGTACCAAGAGCTGTAATGCATTCTGCCTTGCCAGTTGGCCTGAGATATAAACATGCAGGATGTTTCTGTAAAGGAAGTTAAACACATTTTTCTTCAGAAGCTTTCTCTTGAATCTTGTACTATTTTCCTCTTAAAATGCAAAAGATTCTCAGACCAAACTGTGCTGTTCAACTCAAAGACCAAATGAGTATCCTTACGGCAGTTAAATGTTACATATGAGAGGTATATACATCATCTGAGAGAATATTCAGTCTTTTTTCTTCTTCTATCATCACAGAAGAGCAAGCAAAACCTTTCTGCTTACATATTCCGTATTACTGCTGATGTAAACTGCTGGCCCATAACCAGACTTTTAATTGCAACAGGTATGATTTAATCATACCCTGCATAAACAAGCAGCAAACCACCTCTTCCTCACAGGAGCACCAGAAATTAAATGTTATCCCGAGGAAAGCAAACAGTCTAGAGGAAAACAATGCATTTTACAGTTCTCTTCAAGACATGAGCAGGCCTTTAAAACAGAAATTTCTAAGCATTGCTGAATCTTCAGTTTACATTGATAACCTATGCTATTTAAGGAACACCTGCCAAATGTGGTTATTCTAATTTATACCTTTCTTCTGTCCAGTATCAGCTATTTGTTGCTGTACCAGAGGGAAAAATACTTGAAATGTGATTTGTTATAATAATGAAAAAATGCCAGTAGGGTTGCTTTTATTACCAGGACACACACAGAGGCTTACGGGGGGTCCTTCAAAATGGGAAAATGAATTAAAAACCTGACTTAAATCCTAGAACATCTCTCATTGAGCTGTTAAGTAATTTTCAGAACCCTTTAAAAAGACTACCACAAGTTACAGTACCTCTGTTTTAGATAAACACTGCACTGCAAGCAAAACTTACTATAAAAATAGACTCTATTTAATAAATATGCATATAATACACTATAAAAATCAAAGTGTTATTACAAAGGTAAATAAAAGTCTGCATTAATATTTCAAGTAACTTTATAGCATTTCTTCAAGTTGTGTAACATTGATCACAAAATGGACACAGTAGAACAGGTTTTCCCCAATCCTCACACTTTTATTTAAAAAAAATCCTTCTCTTTTTCCTCCTCCAAAAGAGGAATTGCTGCCTGTGTTTAGGTTATAGAGTGGGACATCAAAACCACTATCTTGCTGAAGAGACTGTGGATTCCACACTTTTTTCCATGCATTTTTTGCAGCGTTTTCCTCCATTTGAATCCTGCAACACATTGAATTGTGTGGCAGTGGAATTTGATTTGTCAGAGTTGAGGAATGACGGATGTTCTGTGTTAGTTGTTAGGTGGCCTCTACTGGAAACTTTAGCGCTGCTTTTTGTGCTGAGAATCTTGCCATTGCCATTAGAAATGTCTCTCCAAGAAGCAACACTTTCATCTACAGGAGAAAATGACCTCATGTGAGGAAACTCCTCACAGTGTGCAGTTTGTGCATGCACATTAGCACTGGCTTTTTGTTCAGGATACAAGAAAGGTGTATCACTACAACCCAGGCTTCCATTCACATAACTCCGTTCACTGCAGCTTCCTCCATCTCTTTCCGGAGTTCCTTGGAAATCAGGTTTCTGAGTTCTTTTAGATTTAGTTTTCCATTTTCCATATGACTGGAAACATTTATCCTCTTTCAAGACAGTTCTTTCACCCTTGCTCTTAAGCATATGAGTTGGCCCAGAGATGGTATGGCTGTTTGTAAAGCTTGGTGAATGCGTATTTTCTAACATTACTTGAAAAGCAGACAGAGAAGCACTCTGATGTGCTATATTACCAGCAGCACACAGGAGTCCTTTGTCTGCATTTACAATGGGGCCATATTTTTCTCTTCTTCCATCTTCATTTGAATAAATCTCTGGCACAGCATCTCTTGAAGCACCATCCAGATTTTTAGAATTATTCCCATTTTGAGTATTTGAAGTCACTGTTTCATGAAGCATATGTTGAATTTCAGCCTGCACTGCATCAAACTGCTGTCTCAAGTCATGTGGTACACGTTTCTGGACAACTTTATCACCGGCTTTTTCAGTAATGCTTTCGCCACATGCTTTGCTTTCCATATGGTTTGACCTAGTCTGAAGCACGCGATCTCTTTTTGTGTACTCAGCTCCAGGTGGCAGATCAGAATTTAACAGCAGAGCTATGAGAGGAGGGAAGGAAATAGATTAATTAAAAGAAAGGTTAATGCCAGAAAATAAAGTTCTTCTGTTTGTTTTTAATAAAGAATTATAAGCGCTGTCAAAACAAGCAGCTTATACTGACATTTCCATTAGCAAGCTTATAAATAAATAGTACTTCACTTTGCATCTGCGTTTTCATTACTACGTGCATTAAATCAATATGATCAAGAAGAGAACAACTGCAGAATCCAGCATACCTGACCGGGTAGATTTGCTCTGAGGAATGCGTCGAAGAGGCATTTCAAGTCCTTTAGCCATTGTAGCAAGCTTGCTGGCAGCATTCATTATTTTCTTTTCAGCTCTGCCAAGAATTGCAGAACATGAAAAAAAAAATTAAAGTTTAAGGGTAATTCCTTTTCAACTCTGCATTTTACTTCAAGGTAATGATGGCAAGAGTCAAAGACTGAAAAGACAGTATGCCAGACTGCTCAGCAGTGAGCCCATGCCAATATGAGCAGACTGGCAAGACTTTAGGTCAGACACCATTTGCTCTGATACACCTCTTTCAGAGCCAACAGTAATTTCCAAACATACTTTAACGTACCCTTCATGTTTCCCATTATCAGTAAGCAGTTCTTGAAGGCATGTCAAATAGTATTTGTGCATTTTCCTTGCTGTCTCTTGGCGCTCTCTTAAGACCTCCACTTTGATCATTTCAGCAGCTCGCTCCTTACTTTCACGGATATAACAAAGCATATCACCTAGAAACACAATTAATTAGTAGCATTTTTCCCCCAGAGAGGTAAAAAGCCAACACCACAAACTGGGATTGTCTAGCAGACCTGCAGCAAGTCAGCAAAAGCCTGGATTTACCTGCCAACATTCCACCCAAATCTCTGTACCAAGTGTTGCCTACTGGATTAATGCCACCAAAGACCACAGTCGGTCAATATGAAGCATCAGACAGGAATTCAGTTGTCTGATTCTGCATCTTAAGCAGCAATAGAAAACACTGAGCACAGGGATTTGGGAGGAATGTTGGCTGGTAAAATGTGGATCTAGGAATTCCTCAGTGGCAGTGCAGCTGGCTTTGGCGACCTGCTGCATTTAAGTAAGACCCAGTGCTACACTTAACCCTCTCTCTTCAGCCAGAAGGCTGCTGATCAAGACAGATGGTAGGATATAGAAGAAAAAAGGAGGTTCTCTTTCAGAACAAGTTGCAGGGTAGATGGATTGTTTGCTGGAGAAACAAGATCAGTTCTCAAAATACACTTTACTACTTTACAAGACATAATACAGTGCAACAAAACACGTGTGGCATAACAAGGCCTCACCCACTGCAGTTAATCTTGTCTAAGATTATGGTGACAATTCCATTTCTCACATCCACTCTAGTAAGAGAGAAAAAACTACTTCTCATGCAATTTGGCTGTCAGATTCCTGTGCAAGTTGGCTGAAGGAGGAGGAAGTGACAAAGTAAATTATTTTGCTCTCCTAACTTTTTAGCTAAGACTTCAGTACTTACACTTAATCTTGCTCACAGCTTTAATGTACTGAGCACGCATTTCTTCCAGCCCTTTCACAGAGTCAGAGGATGTACAAGGTTTTGAGACGCCTCCCTTTGACAGTGACCTGAAATGCATGTAAGTCACACTGCACGAACAAAGCAACTTAAATCTTACCAAGAAAGAAAACCCAGCAGCTTGTTTGGCTTTTTTTATTACCTTGGTGGTGTTCCCAGGTCTTTCAGTTTAGTCTTCATCCCAGAGTTTTCTGCAACTGGGGCTTCTAGAACATTCTCATTATCTATAAAATGAGAAAAGTGATGAACCATAATTCACTGCACTTCTCTAAATTCAAGTTGAGTTATTACATAAACTGCTGTCTCTGGTATAAGAGCTCAGCGTCACAAAGCATCATCAGCAAATGTACAGCTGTTGCAGTAGCAAGCACTTAAGAATCGATCACAATATTTTTCAATGAAGCCTGGATATAAAAGTTCTCACACAGTAATTAAATAAATGTAAAGCCTTCATATGCTATTACTAACACTATACTAGAGGCAAAACTTCAGGAGGTACCAGGTGTACATATAAAGATAGGACAGGGGAAAAATAT